ATGGAGTATTTTTCTCCTCCTCTCCCATTCAATTAAGAGCTATGCCAATGCGGATTGGGCTAGTTGCCCTGACTTCCACTAGTCCACGACTGGGTGGTGTGTCTATATGGGTGATTGCTTAATCTCTTGGAAGTATAAGAAACAATAGATCGTCTTCAAATCTTCCACTAAAGTTGAGTATATGACAATGCCTTTTGCTTGTAGCTAGTGTGATTGTTTGGTTAAAACCTCTCTTTATGGACCTTGATATCCGATCTCCTACTCCTACTTTCTATGCAAACAATACATGTTTTATCAATATTGCATCTAACCCTGACTTCCATGAGAGGACTAAGCACATCAAGGTGGACTATCATTTTATTTGAGATATTTTCACTATTGGATCTATATCTCTTTCTCACGTAGTCTTGGACATGCATACTATTGACATCTTCACAAAGACCATGACTAGATCTCAATACCTATTTCATATAGGCAAATTAATGCTTATGTCTACAAATCAGTGGGGGGAGTTTGGAGATTTTGTGACTTGATGTATCTTATTAGTATAGTCCTTATTGTATATTATATTACTTGTATTATTTATTCTTTTTCCCCTTCTAGCCCTATATAGTTTTTTTTGTAATTAATTTATACATATTATTTAATGTAAAAAGGCTCTTTGGGGGTGGGGGTCGACTATTATAATACCCCTGAATTCTTTTGCTCTCTCTCTCTCTTGTTTGAACTAGTAAAATAATAGTAGCCATTTTGCCTTCTCCATAACTTTTTTTTTTGTTGAATATTTGATACATGTTTTAAGAAACATTGAGTGCCTCTGGTTATGTAAGCATCAGTTTTGAAGAAAATGTCACTTTGACATTTCTTGCATAGAGACAACGTTTTTTTCCTTTTTGCCTATGTGGTGCCTATTTGGCACTAAATATCAATTTAAAATTTGCATAAAACTTAAAATAATTTTACCAAATTTCAAGATGTGACTGATACATGAGAAAAAGGTATTGATACCAAACAAAGCCTTATATGCTATTGAGAATTTGAAAGTTATATCTCTTGCTCTTGAACTTCTTAATGTATCTTATGAAGACTTACATGAATTGCAAAAAATATTCATTGATTGATCATTTATTTTTAATGATTGTGTTGCAAATGGCTTTCTTGTTCTCTCTACTAATAATGACTATTGCAACAATAGGTCATTGTTTGGTTCAAGGTCTTGAACAAGTAGAATGGTGGGCAATCCTTAAAGCATTAAGAGGGGCTCGAGCTTTTGGTTTGCAAAATGCCTTATTCTTCACATATTCATCCACCTTAGTATCATATCTTCAAGAAAAGAAGGCTAGTAAATTGATGGAGTGAGCTCTAGTGGAAGAAATCAAGTGAAGTATGAATTTTTTGTCTATTGTAAAACATTACTCACTCTCAACTAAGTACAAGGCCACCATTCTACGCTATTTTGTTTAACACCCACCATCAATTTATGTTTGGATTTTATCTGTTTATGTGTGTGTTTATTTGATTTAAGTTTTTTTAGCAAAGAGAGAGAGAGAGAGAGAGAGAGAGAGAGAGAGAGAGTAAGGTGACGTTTAATAACGCTTTTAAGAGGTCTGAAATATGAAAACATTGCTTTTCAGATTCTAGAAGTGTTTGGGTATGCGTCTGAAAGTTAATATGAAATTGCATTTCAGATCTAAAACATTTAGACCACGGGCCATCACTGAACGTGCTTAGACGCATTTCATATGTGTTCAAAAGTCTAAAATGCCCCTGATAATATTCAAATAGACATCCCTTTTTAAACCCAAATTTCTTTTCACTCAAGCTCCAAACCGATGCAACAGACAAGTCTCTTCATGATCTAGGTTTCTATTCTTCCAGCGATCTATATTCCAATGATCAACAGTGATAGAGAACTCGAAAAAACCTATATTCCAACGATCAACAACGATCAACGACGATGGACAACTGTGATAGTAGAGGGAGAGAAACAGAGAACTTGAAGGGAGACGATGATGGAGATTTTGAAAAAACTATAGTCACAGACAATGGAGATTCCATTCTCAATTGTTTGATTTCTCTCTCTCTCTCTCTCTCTCTCTCTCCCCCACTGTCTTCCCTCTATCGTCACTGCAACTCTTAATAGTAGCGGTTGATTTCCCTCTCTCTCTCTCTCTCCCCTGTCTTCCCACAATTGCAACGACCATATTTCAATAATGGCATTCAAATGTACACCAAATTAATTATTAATTATTTTAATTATATTAATTATTGAATATATTAATAGTTTCTAATAATTTTATTATTTTTATAATATTTTATATTAATAATTTTAAGTTTTATTAATTATTAAATATTTTAATAATTTTAATTTAATAATTTGATAATTATTAAAAAAATTTCATTGCTTCATGGACTTTATTACTATTTTCATTATTATTTTAGCTTTTAATAATTTATTTTTAGGAAAAATTCCTGATCAGTACCCTATACTTTGGCTTGAGTAACAATTTGCTCCCCAAATGTTAAATGCGACAATTTAATACCCGAACTTTCAAAATGTGACAATCCAGTACCCAAACTTTCAAAATGTAACAATCCAGTACATGTTGTTAACCAGTTCGTTAATTAGTCATTAAGTGACATTTGAAAAGTAAAAAATACCCTAAGAATGCCATCTAATTCTCTTTATCAACCATCCAAACATTGACAATATAATGAATAGTCCTAAATTTTAGATTCTTTTAAACAATCACCAACTTTTTTTAATAGAAGAGGCTAGGATTTGGGACTGTTCAATTTTTTGGCAATGTTTAGATGGTTGATAAAGAGAATTAGATGACATTTGAAGGGCATTTTTGACTTTTTAAATGTCACTGACGACTAATTAACGGTAAGTACTAGATTGCCACATTTTGAAAGTTCGGGTACTGGATTGTCACATTTTGGAAGTTTGGGTACTGGATTGTCGCATTTTAAAGTTCGGGGACCAAATCGTCACTCAACCCAAAGTATAGAGTATTAATCGGGAATTTTCCCTTATTTTTAATTTATAAGTTTATATGTATCTTTCAATTTTATTCTTATTTTAATATATTATTTTTTTATTTTCATAATTTACTCAAACTTTTCCATATTATTTTGAATTTAATAAATTATTTTTATGAAATAATGCAAATTGAACTCAAAATTACTAAATAGTTTGTTTTAGGGGTAAAATAGTAACATTAAGGAATTTCATATGTTGAAGGGTTGATCCAACACAAATAAACTTATCTATTTAGAGCCTCTAAAAAGTAGAAAAACACCTATGCTTCTTTTAAGATTTTAGATACTTTTAATATCTTTTTAACTTTTCATATTTCAGATTTCAGATTTATCAAACGCCACCTAAATTAGATTTTATATGTCAAACAACAATCCACTTTAATTGATATTCAATATTTATTTGGTATATTTAATTTGAGTCCATTATTTTTACTTTTAAAATTTAAAGGTAATTGATAACCTATTTCATTTAAAATAACATGCATCACATCAATAAAAGTCTTTATAACAAGTCTTCTATTTGAATTAGGAAATTAAATTAAAAAATTAATACGAGTCCCATATTTTGAAATAGCTACTTTTCTAACATTTTTTCAAAAGAGTTGAGTTAATTTGTCCAACTTTTATTATAGCAGGCAAACACATGCATAAATAAAGCTTATTTGAGAGTGGAAAAAACTACTCTCTCTTGAGAAAATWGAGTGCCATTTGTTTGAAGTAAAAACCCTTTACTTTGAGGGCTTTCCTTTAGTGGAAAGGAGTCCATATTGAGTATAGAGATTGAAGGTTAAAATTAAATTTACAAATTTAATAAATCAGAAACATAATTACATTTGTGTTTTTGATGTAAATATTTTTTGTGGCATACATTGATTTAGTATATAGATATGGATACTAGAGAAGAACCCTATACCAAGTACAAGGCAACTATCATTTTGTTTGAAATTCAATATCTGTATCCTATATCTAATTTTAGTTTCTTATTTAATTTAAAAGTCGAATCAAGATTAATTTGTAGTTGAAACCTATTTCATCTAAAAGAATAGGACCTACACCATTGAAAAGTCTTTATAATAAATTCTTTCAAACCTCTCTAACCCACAAAACACCACCACTATTGTGAACTTCGCCCCGTGAATGACGAGGGAGATATTCCCGGGCCCCCTTGCCATTGATCCCAGGTCTCCCTGAAAACCGCCCCAGATGACAGAAGCTATCAACCGAGCCAGCATTGGCAGGTATTATGCCTTTTTCCGTCATAAACGGAATCTTGGCTGCACCGTCGGTGGATGCGACCTTTGAATTTTTTATCGAAGTACCGACATGCAAATTGTGAAGTGACCTCTCGGCGCAACGCAATTCCGTCAGGATCTCAAAAGGTGGGCCCATAATACAGATCTCACATTGGTGGTAGAGATGCGTGCGCTACGTCCCGCCACGTCGCAGAAACAAACAACCGAGAGATTAAACGTGGACATCCACTATGGAGCCCAAAAAAATTTCAGGTACGTTAGTTGGAGATGATCAACTGACAATTTCTGTATCCATCCGTGGTGGGTTTGTGTAACGTGGCCACTGGCAGGATCTGGACCCCACATGGACGCAACACTTTACATCTCTGTGATGTGGGGCCCTCAAAGCGTTCAAAAGTATAATAATGGCTTAATAACCAAGAGGGTTGTGGTGGGGCCCTAAAAAGATTCCTATACGAAACCACTTTTTCGTGGGTTTATGGTAGTTTAGTGTACATCGAGAATATTTTATCAACCCAACTAGGCAAATGTGCGAGATGGAGTCCAAATAAGATCCCGCTTCTGCATGAAAAGATTCTGAACCAACGGACGTATGGTATCTGCATGTAAAGATTCTGTTCTAACGGTTATGTGAAGATGTGGACGTTCCCAATTGACTGGTTTGTTCGTATACCATTATGGCTGTTTCGTCATATATAGCGAGAGGAAGAGACAGCGGAGTAATCAGTAGTGGACAGTGGACACACTCTGTATACTCTGATCTCTGTTTAGTGTCGCTTCTCGCTTCACTTCTGAAGCAGTAGCCATGGCATTCTCTTCATCCTTCTCTCCGTCCTATGGCTTCTCGTTCAGTGCAGTGGCACAGAGTGACAAGAGGAAGAGCTGCAGCTCTCGATGCCGCCACCATTTTTCTTCTTTGTCCCACATTTCGTTCCCTGGTGCTTTTCTTCGACACTATTCCGCTCCCAGGTTAATTATCTTCATTTCATCTCCACCTGTAGCTTTCTCTTTGGAAATTGGTCTCCCATGCATTGAACAGTGTTAATAATTAGTTCTTCATCGGACTGCATTTTGGTTCCTCTGCTTTCTTTGGGATTCTGAGATTGATTTGATTGATTCACTTTTGTCTGTCAAATGGGTAAGGGTATTTTAGGGCTTTATTTGAGATTCCGAGATTGATTTGATTAATATCTGTGTTGTAGTAGAATCTTTTGGTGACATTGTGAGCTTGATATGGTAGCTTTATCGCTATTGTGTTGGATTGTCCGTTCATTTTGTTTCAAGTTTGAGTTTTGATGTAATCATGGACTCTTCTGGGTACATTGGTGGGTATTTGGGTAAGTTGCACTAAAGAGACTACCTCACGGCTGCAATGCAGCACCGCAGACAGTGGATGATGATTCTTAATTACTATGGTTTGCAAGATGGATCATGGCATAGCGTAAGATTATGCTCTCGCCTCTTCTTTTTGGTTATCGGTGGGTCATTTACCTTGGAAAAATAAGAATTCAGTAGACTATGCATTGAACCTGAACAGAAATATTTTAAATTTCACTTGATATATTTTTTTTTTCATATGCATTTTTTTAATAATCGGCAGAGAACAAATTTCTTTTCCAATATTCAACCGTAATAGCCTTGTCAGAATAATCATAAAATTTCACAATACTGTAATTTTCATAATTAAAAATATTTAACGATGCATTTTCCCCTTTTCTTTCCTTTTGAGGCGGTCTATTATGTTTTAATGAGAATACTGGTTATCATTTCTTAACTCATTTTCTGCTCAAAATCACAAAGAGGGCAATGATTGGATATGCACAAGATTTATCACTCTATGCAGTGCTTAGGAAGAAAGGAATCAAAGGATCTTCTCAGTCAAGAGATTATCTTATAATATTATCATCTTGATTGCCATTACAGTTGGGCATTAGATGCCAATGAAGGAGGTCATAGGAGTATCAGTTAATGCAGAGTTCGTTTCTAGCTTTTCTCTACAATGGCAGTGAAGCTGTGCAGGACTGGCTCCTCCAAAGTGAGTGAGTGATGAAGCTCAACTTTGACAGCTGTTCAGAATCTAGAGACCTTCAGCAGTAGGTGGAGTCTTCAGGGGACATGACTATGCTGTTGTTTTGACCTTTTTCAGGCCCTATTAGGAAGGGAAATTTCATTAGAGTGAAGTCCCCACTTCCAGCTCTTCTCTATGGCTTAAAGTTGGGTTTGCCTCTGGGTTTTTGAGACTTGAGATTGAAGGACACTTTTAAGTTGTAATTGGTTGGATGGAGAATCACTTAGAGGTTCCCCAATCACTAAGACCCTTCACTTTTGTCTCAGGTTGTAATAGCTAAAGCATTTGCTACCCAGGGAAAACAGCTTGCTTAGATGGATTCCATAACAATCCAACTCTCTCACCAATAGAATAGATTCAAAGGGAGTGACCTGGAGATAGTTGATTAGGGGTCAATGATCGATTGGAATAGCTTCTGCTTGTTATACAAACTGGTGACCATGTGATGGGTGGTCTTTCTGTTTGCTTTACATGATCAATTTGTGCTGTAGTTGCTTGAATGGTTCAAAGTTTCTATTTAGTTAGGCATTTCCACATGTGAAAATGGGATATTTTGGATTTTTTTTATCCCACCAAAAAAATATTTTGGAATTTTTTATTCAGAAATATGGAATATCTAAGGAAACTGATGAAATATTAAAAACATGGAATAATATTTGAAAAACTTCATGACATGCTAAAAGAGTTATACTTACATACTCAAGACCTAAAAAATAATAATTTACTATGTATAAGAAATGATAGAAGATTACAACATTTAAGTGGATATAGATGGAAAATTTGATTTATGATCATGAGAGATGWGTATCCACATAAACCAAATATGACTCTTATTTCCTTACTCCTTTTCTTTGAGGCATTTCAAAAAATTTATCCCTATCTTGAGTGTTGTGGCCATAGTATTGCTATTCAACATGAGTAGAATTGTGTACAATTCACCATGTTATAAAATATCTGCATGTAATCATCCACAATCTTCCATTAGATGAGGAAATTTTATTATCATCTGGTTATTGTAAAGTCTTAATTACTTAACTAAAATCTTATAAGAACTTAATATTCTAAAAAACCTAACTGGAGTTAGATGATTCATGGGTCTAGAATCAACAAATCCTAGTTTTTTCTCTTTATGTGAATCTGTGGTTTGTACACTTTCTATTCCTGACAGTCGTTTCAAATTGATTATATGAAACCTGTGAAATTTTTAATACTATGTTGAAACTTGGAATATTTGCAGATAACAAATTGAAAACTTAGCTGATGTATCATAAATTTTTAAAATGTTGAGAAAATGCTGACAGAAATTTGGAATTATTTTAAATCGGGGTGTGTGTGTGGGGGGGGGGGAGGTGGGTTGGGGAAATTTTGCTATGTTTCAGGTAATTTGTGAACTGTTATTGGTTGCGTCTCTCTTCCATTGTTCTTGGGAGTGAAAGCTTGTATTTTTCATTTATTCTTTTGGTCATTTTGTAAAGTCTTTTATTGCAAATATTTTTCTTTTTTTTGTTTCTTCCCTTCTTTATTTCCTAATGTAGGAATCATTCCTTCTGGTGCTAGTTTTTTTGCTTAATGTTGTCATTAGTAAAAATATTTTCATCTGGGAACTAACTTGTTTTTCCCTTCCTCCCATGGCTAATGTTGTTATCTGTTTTTACTTTTCTAGAAAGTTTTTCTTCTGCTCCTTTACAAATTTGTATATTTTTTATATTTTGTTTTTGAAGCTTTTCTTCCCATGTTTTTTCTTCCCTTTTCCTCTTTATTTATTTTTTCCCTGTTTCTTGTCAGTTGCTCAATGATTTTCTATTGCTATTCTCTTTTCAGAATTGGTTGTGTTCCTGTGTGGGGAAAAAGGCAATCATGTTATGCTCAACTCTATGCTCCAGTTGCAGGTCCTTCCTCCATCCATTGTTGTCGTAATGGCTTGGAATCATAATCACAACCTTGAGAAGCTTGTGTATTTACATTCATTTGTTAATACCTGAGTGACCCCTTTTTTGGCAGATCCTTTGCAGAAAGAACCTGAGGAAAGAACACCACTTCCCAAAGGCAATATGTGGTCTATTCATAAATTTGGTGGGACCTGTGTGGGTACCTCCCAAAGAATTCAGAATGTTGCAAATATAATTATTAATGATGATTCAGATAGGAAATTGGTGGTTGTATCTGCAATGTCAAAGGTGACAGATATGATGTATGATCTCATTTACAAGGCTCAATCCCGTGATGAGTCCTACTTATCAGCACTGGATGCTGTTTTAGAAAAGCACAAACTAACAGCAATGAACCTACTTGATGGAAATGATCTTGCTAGTTTCCTATCACGGTTGCATCATGACATCAGTAACCTCAAAGCAATGCTTCATGCAATTTATATAGGTATTAATCTCGTATATTCCTCATCTAAGTCAAATTATGCAATATAAACTGTAAAACAATGGTAGCCTTTCTGAATGACAGCCAATAGTGAAATACATTGTTGTGATATTCAGTACAAAGTTTATAGGTTGCTTGTAAGTATCACTACTTTGGTGTATATTCTATGTGTTTCCTTCAGATTTGTGAATTTTTATCCTAATCATATTGGATTCTGCCTTCATAGAATTTGGTAGTGGTGGTTTGCTATTGACAATGTAAATGGAATCTCTTTGAAAATTGAAAATATGATAATTATAACATTTGAATTAGGGAATATGGAATCCTATTGATGTGATAAATGAAATTCTCTATGCAATCAAAATATGGGTCAATACTAATGAAAGTTACCGTTTCCAATAAAAAAAATTTCTCTATGCAATCCTTAGAATTGAGGGAATGTTTTAGGTGTAGAAAATTGGAAAACGTAGTTGTACTTAATCTAATTCTTGAATTGGTAAACAAAGTGTAAACGTAATTCTAGGAATGCATATTATTCAGAGTTCCCAGTGTGGCTATGAGTCTGAGTCTATGTAATGAATCAAATGAAATTGAATAAGAAATTTTTAATATTTTGTGCTTTCTTGGTGGTAAGATTTGCAATTTCAATTTTGAGAGTATTTTCTTCTTCAAAAATACGACAAATTTTAGAGAATATTGGAATGATATAAAGGAAGTTCTTATTAATGGTCATGACCTCTGTTTCTTTTTTCTTTTTTGTTTCCAAATTAAATACTCATATTCTTCTCTATTGATAATCGTATCCACTCCTCATCTATTTCATGCTACCTCCTTGGGTCTCTATTTGCACAATAGTGGTTTAGTATTGAATTTATCTCTATTGTGTCTAATATGTTACCAAGTCATCAGTAGCACATATGGCTCCCAAGGCACTTTTCTCCTCCTAAAATGTGATAAAGAAACTCCAAACTATCCTTGCTTATGGAGAAAAATATGTGATCCATTATCTTCATTAATCTTGGATGTGATATTACCAGTTTGTCATTTATGAGCCCTTGTAGTTGGTTGTTAGCAGAAAAAAATTAGGTAAATTTCTCACATAATATGATTCACCCAATTAGGCTAGTAAGTAGTATGTGGATTTTTAGTATTTAGGTAGCCCCCATTTAGGGTATCTTATATCTTTGCTAGGAGTAGAAACAACTTTTTGATTCTGACTTAAAAATGTAAATAAACAGGATGGAGTAAAAGATTTTGACTGCAGAATTTTCTATTGAAAATCCTGGTATATATTCCCTCTTTAGTTTGATAGAAAGCGCAAGGAGTAAATAGATTAATAACATTTTTATGTATGGTAGATAAGTAGGGACAATTTTTTTTTTTTTTTTTTCTGAAAGGTAAGGTAATTTTATTGAAACATAAAAGGCTGTGGATGACTTTTCTCCCCACATTGAATCAAAATCTATAGAAATTTAATAGTGTAGGGAACCATAATCCGTAAAGTTTCATGAATAAGGTTATAGATGGTTATCTCCCGCATGCAAAATTGAATTAATATCTTTTAGAGAGCCATAATTAGTCAAGCTTCATGAAAAAAGGCTCTAGATGGATGTTTCCTCTACATGGGATTAATTTTCTATTTAGAGGCAAGGAAAAAGAGAAAAATGGAGAGGAGTAAGAGGGTAGGGGAATAGAGAAGCATGGCTTCCTCATAGAGGAGGCTGTATAGATGTAGTCATGAAGAGATGGGGAAGTATCATCTTTTCTCCTACCTTCATAGACTTAGGTTGGACTTTAATTCTTCACACCTCCTTTTCTCTTCTTTCTTGTTTTGTCCTTTTTGTTGCTGGAACTTCAGTTATTAGAATGGCATTAGTCCTCCTCTCTGTAAGGAGAGGGGTGTATATAGAAGAGGGATGTAGATCAAGGTTTAAAATGTCGATGTCGACGGAAATGTCGCTTACCAAAATATAGGACATATGTCGGAAATGTTGAGAGGAAATATTGTAAAAATTAGAAATTGTGGAAATATTATGAAATATGTGGAAATATGCAAWGATATKWTGTRAAATGATAAAAGAAGCATTAATACATATTTCTAGACTATTATCTTATTCCCAACCATTATATAAAGCTAAGAAACTAAGATCAATAACAAATTAGTAAAT